CAGTTATCCAACTTGGGTGATAAAAATTGTGCTTGATTAATGACGAGGCACTTATTTACAGGCCTGTATTGACTCTGGTACCATGGGGTGACAGTGGCCAGGGGTTCTCACTGAGTCTAATAGCTTGCTTTAGTTTCCATTATACCTATGTGCATCCATGTTACTATCACCTTCTCACTTGATGCTTTTAATACCGGTAAGTAGGCTGTTATCGTTTTATTGCATTGGTTTTCATGTTGCTATAATGAGTATTCTTCAAGAATTTGTAATTTTAACTTGTCTCCCATTATTCTTGTATATTTCCTAGTACTTGGAACTGCAGTGGCCTCAGGGCAAGCTGATAATAGCAGGCAGAATGAGGTCCTTAGGCATGTTAGAGAAAACATGAACTAAAAATTGCTGCTTCCTGACACCAGATTTCAACATACCAGATAGAAAATAGCTTATACTAAACCGATGGGAAAGGGGTCCTTTTGCTTTCCATTTCTAAGCAAGTTTCACATGGAGAGATCATGGAGGAGATTCCACCCACCCTAAACACAGCTTATATTGTTCTGCTTTTCCTTACTTCACACACGGAGAACCACTGATCTAAGCAACAGCAGCAAAAGTAGGGAACAACAATATTATTTAGTTAATATCAGAAAATCTTGATAGTTCACCAGACACAGTAAAGACACCTGCATATAATATATATAGTATGTTTGTTATGTCTATGTTCTTCAAAATCCCTTTAAAGCCTTTCTTTTATCATGCAAACACACACAGACACACACACACACACACACACACACACACACACAGAGCTGTGTTAGTCCATAAGAGTAAACTTCATAATCCACGGATGGGCAATATCTTTATTGTAACCAGTCAAAATGCCACAAACTCCTTTTTTATGTCACACTTTGCCTAAGAAAGAGTTCTTGGGAATGCAAAAACTTGTACGTAATACTTTTGTGACATCTTGGTTTGTGCCAATAAAGGTACTGCCCAATGGAGGGTTGTCTCCCTGCAATTTGTGTGCTATGCTAATGCTAATTCTGTTTTGGAAAGGTTAATTTCGTTTGACCTTTGGCTGTGAAAAAACAAGAGGCTGGAAGCCTAATAGTTTAATAGAGATATGCTTATTTTTATGGTAAAAAATCAAGTTGACCCCTAGTTGTTTCTTCCTCATCCTTTATCCATCCCTGAACAGCATTTAAAGAATAATCTTACAATCTTAACGAATTCCCTATAGAGGAAATGCTATGTTACCATGGAATCAGTCAATTAACTTTGACACATGCTTACCAAGATTGATCAATCATTTCTGATGTCTGCCTGCTAAGTTATTGTTTTTCAGGAATGGAGAGGAAATCTCACATGAGATTAACACCCAAATTGCCTAAACTGATACTGCCCTGGTGTCAATACCAGCAGCATTTGCTAATGCCAATCACTCATTACACAATGAGTTAAGCTTGCTGCATATCCTCTTGGTTCACGTCATATAAGATAGGAATCAGAAAGAACAAGAGTCTTATTTTACTGAATTCTTTTACAGATCATACAAGAAACACAAACCTTTACAAATTAAATTTATATATTTTTAACATCATTGAAAATTAACACATTAACACTTCAAAACAATGTATTTAAGTTAGGGCTCTTTTATATAAATTATACGATTAAGCCTTTTAAACACACACAAACAAAAGATGTTTTGGAAAGAAAACTAAATGCAATGCTAATATATTAAAAACAAAAGCCTTAATTTATAACAACTTATATCAAGCCATATGATCCAATCTGGGAAATACCTGAAGTACAAAAATTAAACCAAGTTTCAAATTTGGCTTTTTCTCTGTCATAGTTTAAATTAACCAACCCTGGCAATGGGAGCTGAGTTTAGGGCAGGGGTAAGCAAACCTTTTCAGCAAGGGGCCGGTCCACTGTCCCTCAGACCTTGTGCGGAGCCGGACTATATTTGGGGGCGGGGGGAAATGATGCAAGAGCACCACGAGCCCTGGTGGCTGCTTGCCTGTGTCTTGCAAGCGGCAGGGGCTGGTGTTGGAGGAACAATGAGCAGTGCGTGAAAGGGCTCCAGAGAGGGGCTGCTTAAAATGGCAGCCACTCGAGCGCTGCTGCTGCTGCTGGCACCAACAAAGCCCAGCCCCCTTCCTCCTCTAGGCAGGGCAGGGAGAAGCCAGGAGGGAGGAGGCGCCGCCGCCACTGTGTGAGGGAGGGAGGGAAAGAACGCATGCACTGGCGATACACATGGCAATTCCCGGACCGTCCACGGTCCGGATCCAAAACGCATTTGGGCCTGATCTGGCCCGCGGGCCTTAGTTTGCCTACCCATGGTTTAGAGTGTAATAACTGTGCCTTATATAGTTTATAATATATCTGTTTGGGATTATTGTGTGCTACTGCGCCTGGTTTATACAGCCCTCAATGGATCAGGACCCAAATATACAGTATGTAAGAGTGCCTTCTCCATTACCAGCCAACTAAGTTTAAGACTGGCAAGGGAGAGCTCTATCCACAGTCCCAGTAGTGGACCTACATTTTTGGGAGCCTGAACTGTCATGGAGGCCTCTTCACAACCAGCAACGAGGCCTGTTATCTTCTTCACTGGGGTTGTTCCATGACAGATCACACACTTTTACAAACTACTGAGCTACTGACTCACAAACCTGGAATTGTTGAAATATATACATTTTAAAAAATCAATCAGTCATGTGATTTAAACTGGGTCTAAGAGACACAACATTTTTAAGCAATTCAGACTAAAGTCGCTTCTGGGGTACACCTGGGATTAGGGGCCCTGAAGCTTAAGATTCATTAGTTTCATAGTAGATTCCCCCCCCCCCCCGCCCCTACACGGTCCCAATCAGATTTTGAGGAGACAATTTGCATTGAAGGGACTTCTGTGGTGGAACTCTAACTCTGGAATTGTCACTCTCACTCTGCAGACATCAACTGAAACATTTTTATTTTTGTAGAATAACCATGGAGTATTTAATCCTCAGCAACTACATTTGAAACAGTGCTTTAAGGCGTTGTAAATATATATTTTTAAGATTATGGTTTTACTGTTTATGCAGTTATGCTTATATGTTTGTTGTACATTGCCCTGAGCACCTTTAGAGGAAAGTCAATTGATAAATATTTTAAATAAATTGAACTTCAAGTCTTGTGAGATACTTTATCAGGTATGTGGTTTGTTCTGCTATGCTTCAGATACAGAAGCAGATATATCTTATATCAAAAACAATACTTCAATACTACAGTAAAGGTGCATTATAACCCTTCTTTTTCAGATTACCTTTACAGCATTTACAGAATCCCAAACCTATTTTTCATTTATAGAACAAGAATGACATCAATAACACTTTCAAAGTCATTCAACACAGAGATAAAACAAAAACTTGCAAGTTTATTTTTATACTTTACCAGAAGTCCTCAAGTTTTCCTCATTGAAACACTCTTCTGCTAATGGATAATTATACCTTGAACATTCAGCTAAATATTCCCAACGCTAACTTGGAAAAAGCATTACAATATTCTACAAGCAAGCTTTAGGTAATGTTCCCTCTGTCAGTTTCACTTTCCTCATGTGAATATTGTGTGTGACAAAGAATAAATCCTTTAATACTAAACAACCAAGAAAATCCCCCTATTATAGTATCATTACTGGAGGTACTGATTATTGTAGACATTAGCTAAGGGATACATTATCATCTGGAAATTTTACTTGTCTTAAATTATCAGAAACTTAGACTAAGGTATAAAATAGAATGCAGTTGACACTAAGATAAAAGTAACTGTTTTGAAGGAATCACAATCTAATCCCTAAATGCAGACTTTCTGAGTGGAACTACATAGTAAGAAAAACTTATTTTGTGGATTGTTACAAGACAAACAAGAACTTGGTCATCAAAATATGAACTTGCTTAAGTAACCACTTTCACTCTTACAAATACTCCATTAAAGTTGAAGGCCCCCCCCCAATTTTCTGCAGAATGTTTCTTTCTCAAGCAAGCAAGTAGCTCACCACGTACATCAATAAAAATGAGCATGAGCAAAAAACTGTACTCCTGTAAAATATGGATTCTAGCCAGCTCTCTTATCAGATGAGCTGTTTTAATGTCTGGTTTTCCCAGCTGCCCAGAAATTGTGTGTGTAAATACACACATGTTGCCTTATTTTAACACCTAGCTGTTAAAATTATCTTAAATTATAAATCTCAATTAAGTGCACAAAGGTAAATATTGATTCCCACTTTTACACACTGCACAAAAAGAAAGCATGCAGAAGCAAATGAACCTGCACAAGGTAACTGCTCAGATCACTAGCAGAAGTGGGATGAAATCCTTGCATTACTAACCTTTACTCCATAACTCTAGCCACAAAACTGCACAGGTTCCTCTTTTTAAGCATGTTTCATATAAATGAACAAGCTACTACAACTTATATCCACAGCACACAGTCCTTAGTGTGCACCACACATCCAAACCACTATTTTCAATCCTCTTTTGCTGTCTATGACTCACTCATTCAGCTTTAACAGACGAGGTTTCTTAAATTACTAGGGATTACTATAACCTTCAGAGAAAGCTGGCTAGTTTGATAATGAGTGAAATGCATTTAAACAGGGTTAGGTGTAGATTAATATATTACACCTTTGTGAGAGAACTTGGATGAACAGTATTGGGGGAGAGGAACATTAAATGGAATAAAAACCTTTGCTTTGAAGGAAAGACCTTAAGAATTAACTTTTTCTCTCTTTTTTCAGGGAGATAGAATTATCGCTCTCATGATCATATCAAAGGGAAAGTCACTATCAGATTCCTCCTTGTCTTCTCATTAAAAGCAAGCACACGATGATCTAGGGATTCTTGGCAGACGGCTTTAGTTTTTGTACTTCTGCAAAGACACTTTGGGTATAAAACATAACAGCAGGAAAAGGAAAAGGGGGGTGGGGGGAAAGAGTATGGTCAGAAGATGGTGACACTTACTTGAACCTGCCTTGACAGTGCTGGCACTGGTCTCCTACCCAGCCTTGGTCACAGATGCAGGTAGAATTCAGACATCGGCCCGAGAAGCAGGAGGTCCTCTCGCAAGGCTTCGACTGGGAGACTTGGGCATACAGAACCAGGTACAGTAATCCATAGAAAAGCAGCCAATTGTGCATATCCAGAAGGGTGGCGAAGCAGCAGGAGGAGCAAGAAAAAGGTCTCCAGGCACCAGAGATCACAGGAGGGCCTCCTATCCTGCGCAGGACTTTTCCCAAAGGATCCAGCATCTTTGCCACAGAGCACATCCGCAAGAGCCGGGACCCGGTGCTCGGAGGGGGGCGGGCGGGCCGGGAAGCGAGATTAACCCAGTTCCTTGTGCAGGTCTGACGAGGAGGAAAACAAGCCCCGCCGCTCCAGGAACATCACCCAGGTCAGGGAGAGAGCGAGTTGAACGCAGAGATGAGGAGGAGCAGAGACTGCGCGCCCCCTCCTCAAAAAAGAAGCAGCACAAAACAAGAGACCGATGGGGAAAATGTGTCCTGAAGAGAACTGGTTAATTCGGTCTATAGTGCGAAATAAGGGAGACCGCCAAGCCCTGCTTCCCCCTCCGTCTGTCCACAGGCTCCTCACAACACCTCCCGTTTATCCCTCAGGTGAAACGACGCCACCACCAGCAGCAGCAGCAGCCTTCCCGCCTCTTCTTCCTCGTCGTCCTCAGGGCTCATTGCCTCCGTCTTCCATGGGCTCCTTCCTGACCTTGTCGCTTCCCCTCACGACATGCCCCCGTTCAACCCACTCAGGGTAACGCTGCTGCTGCTGCTCCTCAAGCGCCGCCCCCCCCAATATATATATATATATCTCCGTCTCTCCGCACCCCCCTTTCTCAGTCTCCTTTGTAGCTCGCCCTCTCTAAGCAGCAACAGCCGGGCAAGGACGGCGGTGGAAGGGATGCTTCTTCCTCCCACAGGCGGGCGGGCGGCTAAGAGAAGCGCCCTCAGGATCCCCTCAGAGCCTCCCGCCCCAAGTGGGCCCCGAGTTCCTCGCCCGCCCGTCCGTCCCCGCCGAGATGGGGCTAGGGGGGCGCGCTTGCTTAGTTAAAAGCCCTCTCCTCCTGTCCCAGCTGACAGTTTGGAAGCAGCCATTTTTAAAAGGTTAATTGGTAATCTGCTTTTTTCCGAGGCGGGCGGCTCGCTGGGGCTGAATCCCTCCTCTTCCTCCCCCCCCCCTTCCCGCTCCGCCGGGTCTGTGCAGAGCCGTCCCTCTCTCTCACTGGACTGCCAGGCCCCTCCTCAGCCAGCGCGGGAGAAAGCAGGAATTCCCCGCGGCTCCGTCCCCGCCGCTTCAGGCCACTCGTTGCTGAAGCAACTGCGCCGAGAAAGGGTTTGGGGGGCTCCGAGCCCCGCTCCCAGCTGGAAGTGAAGGGGAAGAGGAGGCGCAGAGGCGTCTGCGGGCGGCGGATTCCCTCCCTCTCCCCCCCCCCGACCTCTCCGAAAGTTCCTGTCCCAGCCGCCCCAGAAGGAAGCCTCAGGAAGGGCAGGAGCGTCACCCCGCCGCCTTTTTGGAGGCAGCAGAAAGGATTGCAACGCCGTGTGTATCTGTTTCCCCTCCTGCTGCTGCTGCTGCTGCTTCAGCCTCCCCTACAGCTTTGCAGGGGAGCCGTGCCGAGAAACTACCACACAAAGAAGAGCTGAGCATGTGCAGCAGCGAAGCCCCCTTAAAGGCGCAGCGCATTGCTCCATTGCATCACTTTGGAGCGTGACACGAGAGAGAGGGAGAGAAACCGCTACTTGGTCGGGAGGGGGGCGGGAGCCGCCGCCGCCGTCGCTTTTCCACATGGAAGATCGGAAGAGCGTGTCATCTTTTCCAACAAGGGAGAAAACAAGTTCCTGAACTTCTCATACGCAGGCACACAAAGGGGGTGGGGGTGGGGAGAGGCAAGGCTGGGAGCTTTCTCAGAAATATTTTGCCAGCGCAGTGACTCAGGGTAATAAAATTAAAACAAAAACAGGATGAGAAACAGCAGCACAAGAATGATTATTATTATTAGTCTGGTTGACTTGAGTGTACTTTGCATTTTCTACACACACACCCCCCCGGTACTGCTCCCAATGGGAGCCTTCAACAGCTGCATTCAATGGGTGGAGTTTGCACACGTCATTGCTATATCTTCATGTCAGGGTAGGCTTCAACTTTTGAATGTCTCTGCTGTGAAGATGCTACGTGAAGGCACAGTAGCCGCTCCACAAAAGGACAGTTCTAGGATCTCTTGCCATTATTTTTCTGAAGAAAACCACCAGAGTACTTTCAAGAGCTACACACACTTTTCAAACTACACTCTCAGAAGTTACAAACATTTACTCTAAACAAATGATGTAGGCATTTCTATATACAGTTCAAGCATTTTGATATTTGTTGACTGAGCACTTTTTAAATACTGTTCTAAAATGTGTTATTTTCTACTGACTTCTTTTGACACTTCAACAATCTGCATATCAGCAGGCAGATGTTTGCAGGGATTTCCTGGTCAAATGTAATTCATATTAAATCTTGCGTACGCTTACCTGAGAATGGGACCTGAATCAGATAATGAATTCATTACAGGTGATTTTAAATTGCTAAAGAGTGACAAGTTTAGAAGTTAATACTGGCTTGCGTTTCCCTGGGCCGTGATCATCTTTCATGAAATAACTGACAACTGTCCTCTTGGATTAAAAAAAAACCCCAAGAATGCACCTTCTTAGCGCTGTACACATGGTAGGGTGCCTGCCCACCCTACACTGAGTAAGGAGAAGACCTTTTACAAGTGTGCTCAGAAAATGCAGAGGTAGCATGTAAATGAATGGAGACTGCAAACTGCTTCTCTTTCCAAAAGTGAACTGTTTTGATGTGAGAAGGGCAAATATCAATTTTAAGAGTGGTGTTTCTGGTCAGGAGTAATCAGTCACTTGCACCAGAGTAGCCTGCATTCAGATGGTTGGTTTGAGGGGAAAAATGGTTCAGATGGATAGGAGGGAGTGTGTATCTTTCTCATGCTATTAATCAGGAATCATTGTAAATGGCTGCAGAATTCCAATTCATTTCGAGTCAAAATGGGGCCACCAACAAACAAGAAGTTTTGGCAAACTAGGGAAACCCCAAGGTATGCAGAAGTATGTTATCTCAAAAATGACCTCAGAAAGAGGCAAGCCCCTGCCCATCAAACCCAGTTAGACTTACCTCTGAGTGGACTTGTATAGGACTAGAAGTGTTAATCTGAGGTAGCCATGTGAAAATGAAGCAGAACTGTATTCTAGATTAGTTAATTGAGAACACTTGCATCTGGCTCCACCAGCAACTTCTGGCCCTCAGCAGAATTCTCTCTGAGAGAATGCAATCCTCGAAAGAAAGAAAATTGTCCTGTATGCTATGCACCCTTACCTGGGGGTAGATCTCATTGATCTCAGATTTACTTTTGAGTTGACATGCATATGACTGCACTGCAAGATTGCAATCCTAAACACATTTACTAGAGTGAACCCAAGTTAATACATTCAGACTTACTTCTTGGTTAACTAGTGCAAGATTGAGCTTTAAACTTTGGGTCAAATAGATTGACAGTGCAATCCTAAACACCAGTGAGACTTAACTTCCACGTAATTGTGCCTCAGGCTGCAGTGGAATCTCCACTTACATGGGAGTAAGTTCCATTAACTCAGTGGGACTTCTCAGTAGATATGCTTTGGGTTGCACTGTAAATATTCCATTTTCATACAGTATACCTAAAAATGTCTCAGCACATAGCCATGGAGATTCAGTCGACCTAGTAATAATTTTACACCTTTGAAAAATACTGTTATCATTTGACTTATGCTTTGGGGGCTGAGGAAAATTATTCAGTCCTGTACTGCTGTGCAGTTTGTTAATTGTTCTAAATAAAACCCGATTGAGTCCACTGAATAACTATCTGCTGTTAAAAAGTGATGTGAAACCAGTGACTCTGTTAATTTAAGATTATATATTGAACTACAAATGAGCTCGACAAATGAGCTTTTCATTTCATACCACATTAAGCAATCTGTGCTCACGCCTACAAGCATAGAGGCAAGTTTCAAACCACTTCTTAAAAATCTATTTTATGGAGAGGATTAAAATCCATCTTTTTGTGGCTTTTTCTTTTTTCTAGTTAGAAAAAGGCAGCCAAACTTTTTAAACTACCAATCAAAGTAAAGGTAATTTGGAAAGATAAGTCCTCTATCAGTGGAGAGCTCTATTTAACATTGCAAAGGGCCAGTGCTGCGATGCTGTAGCAATCAATGTGTCTGTGCATCAGGTTCTTTGATGAAGGACCAAATTATAGAATGGGGAGGGGGAGCCAGTGAAATGAGAAAAATAGAGGATTCAGATGTGCTAAAAAAGTGGGTGAGGACAAAGGATCACACCCTCTTACTTTTCAGAATCCTTATATACATATAAAAATCAAGCAAATGTATCCACCCCTTTTAATAAACTTCAGAGTCAATAAAGTTTTATTATTACATTTGTATCCCACCTTTCTTCCAAAGAGCTCAAGATGGCATACGTGGTTCTTTGTTTATTCAGTCCAACAGTAACAGCTATCATAATAATATTTAATAATTTTTACATTAATGTAGCAATGCAAAACTAGGTATAGAACTAAGAAATAGTAATGAACGAACCAAAATATCCAAGCAAGGAAAAGTGAAGGAAGAAAATGGTATTTTAAATCTATTCTGAAACAGATTATATGCCGTCCTGTGCATTTTTGCTTCAGTATTGAATGAAAAGGCTCTCAATAAATACACTGTTTTGCCGTTTCCCTTCTCTAATTCTCATATTAGGGTGCAATCCACCCCATTGATGGGACTTTATGGACCAGTAGGGCAACCACAGCATTCACAGCTGCTCACAAGTAGGAGATGGGGGGCCAGTAAGACGCTGCAGCAGCCTGAAGCCAATGTATTTTTCAGACATGGATCTTGTCAGTGCACAACAGCAGTGAAACCAGCTTGGGATCCAGTGGCTCTCAACTGGCTCAGCCCAAGCCCCTCCACAATGCCCTGCTTTAAGGCTTTCTGCTGGCCGCCTCTGAGGAGGATCCTGATAGTGACCTGGCTGCCTGTACATTTAACTCCTGGCAGGAAGCTAGCTTAGTCAGGACAGCTGAGCATCTCCACTCCACTCTAACCCAAATTTTAAGACACCAGTCATTTATGGAGAGCAGCATTACCGTTTTCCAGTTCTGAGTGATAGTCAGTTGGGCTGCTATTAAGAAATAAGTTACCATTTCCATATCTTCAGCTAGCACTGAGCCCAGGTCATTACCTAGATATTTTTTGTTTTTAATTTCCATCACAACAGATACCCAAAGCTGTTTAAGCTAGGGAAGTCCAAAAATACTATATAAATTTGCTCTGGCACAACCTTTTTGTGTTATGTCACGCACATATAGCAGCCAATTTTTAAAAATTCAAAATGTGCCTCCTAGCTCAAAAAAATTGGTGGCAACTAACCCAAGCAATCAGCCAGCTTAATTTCTGCTCTAGTACACAATACAGGTACTTCTTTACAGGTAACTCTAGGAATTGTAGCTCTGTGAGGGGACTAGGGGTGTCCTAAAAACTCTTAGAACACTTAAACTATTGTTTCCTAGATTCTTTGCAGGAAGTCACATAATTTTTGGTAGTGCTTTAAATGTATAAGTTAGATGTGGCCTTAGTCTGTGGGAATTTCACCCTAGCATCAAACTGGGGAAGAGGATTTGTAGTGACACCTATTTAGAGAGAGATCAAATGCAGTAGAAGCATAATCAGTAGGAGAACAAGAACATAAATCCTTCTAAATTTTTATTTTATCTTCCATATATTTTTCTTTCAGATCTCCTGCTTTTATATGAGCAAATGTACCAGTTTAAGTAGGTTTTTAATCATGATAAGGAGTTTCAATGAAAGCCGAATGAACTTCTATATAAACAGAGGATTTGTTGTTGTACAATCATGGAATGCTAATGCAAATGAAGGAACAGTAACTTCTGCTATTTATTCAATTTGCATCTTTGCATATATATTGTATAACCACCATGCAATAAATGAAAAGAGCTGTAATTGTAATTATACTGAAATAACTAGTCTATTTTATTGAAATTCTAATTATCCTTATTAAATTTCATTTTTCATGCATATTGTTATGAGTTGGGGTGTTAAACTGTATGTCACACCCTTCTAATCCCTGGACCCAGCAAGTGTTAAAATCTAATCAAGGTTTTTAATTTTTGAAACAGCCAGACTAGCCTCCTGGTGAGGTTGAAGGAAAACAAAGAAAGGGGCCCTGTGGGAGATGGCAAATAGGTGGGGTCCCTCCCTCAACTCACAGTGAGAAAGATAAAAGCCAGAGTTTAGAGTTGAAAGGAGTGAGGGATCTGACCTAGGAAGGAAAGCAGCACACTAAAGAGAGAGCAGTGTTTGATTTCTGCTTGACTCCAGTGCTGCAACTATGTGGGAAGTAGGTCGGCGGTTCGAATCCCCACGACGGGGTGAGCTCCCGTTGCTTGGTCCCTGCTCCTGCCAACCTAGCAGTTTGAAAGCACATCAAAGTGCAAGTAGATAAATAGGTACCACTCCAACGGGAAGGTAAACGGCGTTTCCGTGCACTGCTCTGGTTCGCCAGAAGTGCCTTAGTCATGCTGGCCGCATGACCCGGAAGCTGTACGCTGGCTCCCTTGGTCAGTAAAATGAGATGAGCGCCGCAACCCCAGAGTCGTCCACGA